GTATATTGCTAGGAAGGAGCTATTCCCTGGAGAGGGACGTTGTGCTGAAAAAGGCGGAAGGTTGATGAGGAAGAGGAATACTTTCAACCAGGTGAATTGATGCAGTATTGATGCACAATAGTCTTTAGTTGGCACAGGGTAGAACAGGATTCAGATATTTTGTTTATAGGTCACCTATGAGTCATGCTAGACTCAATGACAACTAATAACGACAAGATTTGGTGCATAGATGTTGGCCAAGGTTATGTCTTTTTTATGTATATTTCCTTTAATGATGCTAATAGTAGAAGGGGCCATGGTACTACGGATATTATAGCTAATGTTAGATGGATCTTGGCTGAAAGCAGGGAGTACCAGAGGATTATCTATCTGTGTTTCATTGACTTTGCAAAGGCTTTTGACTGGATCACAATAATTTGTGGCTAACCTTCAGAAGAATGGAAATCCCAGAATATCTGATAGTATTCACATGAAACTTATACTTGAACCAAGAGGCAGGTGGCAGACGAGAGCAAGAAAACACTGTATGGTACAAAAATCATAAAAGGAGAGTGTCAAGGATGAGTCCTGTCTTTATACCTTTTCAATCTTTATTCAGAAGAGATCATTTGAGAGGCTGAACTTTATGAGGAAGAATATGTCATCAGTTAGTGGAGGAAGGCTGATTGAGACCTGTATTATGCAGAGGACGCAAATTTACATGCTGAGGATGAGAAGGTCCTGAAGTAAGAACTGTAGTTTGCAATATGGACTGAAGCTTAACCAAGAAAATGAAGATTCTCTCAACTGGGCCAATTGGCACCTTCACAATAGATCCACATGTCCCTGGAAACTTTATGAAGGCCCTGTATTCAGCTGGCCTATTGCTATGAGTCATCCATGAGGGCACCTAACAACAACAACACAGAGAAAGTTCGGTTGGCCTAGTGCATAGAAGGTTCTGCTACCAAGCCAAAGGTGGGTGATTTTAATCTGAGGCACTCAGGAATGGTTTTAATTGTTTTTTGGTCATTCTCTTTAAAAAAAAATTAATTGAAAAAAGTACATTGGTTTGTGTACAAAAGTCATATACATTGTGTTTTACACTATCTTTCATTCACATTATTTCACACAATCACTCTCGTTCATTATGTTTTATAAAATCAAACACAATTAAACCATGCCTTTCATTACTCAGTCTTTCCAAATCTCCACTTAATCTTTCTCATTTCCTTTACTCCCACCCCTAAATTGTGTGACCTTATGATTTCCCTACTCCCTTCTGTTCCCACCCCTTCTCCCCTTGAATCCCCATACACGTTCTAAGAGGTATAACACTGGTCTGTTCATTTGCTGTACAGAGGTAACTCGTGGTTTCTGTGATGCTAAACACTGTGACCCTGATGTGTCAAATGTGATAATAATTATCAATGGTGGACAGTGTTTAGTGGAGCTCCCCAATTAAAACAAGCTTGGAAGCAGGAGTGGCATCCACTTCCAAAATGGGTTGCCTTCTGACATAGCTTACCCCCAGAAACTCTATGAACTTGGAGAATCAATTAAAGCTATACAAGTGTTCAGGTCTTTCATTCATAAGGTCACTATGAGTTGTCTATGACTCGACAGTACTTAACAACAACAACAACATTGCTATTGTTATTTCATTTTTGAGGAACATTCTTCTAAGTTGTACAGCACTCTTCTTTCAATTTTCTTTCAATTTTCAATAGAAAGGTAATCTGAATTTGCTGTGAAACTGAACCTTGATCCATTGAGGGTGAAAAGCCATAATTGCTGGCTATGGAGGACAATGTTTCATGGATCTCCCAGTTTTAATACAGGTTTGGAAGCAGGAGTGGCATCCACTCCCTAAACCACATGTCACTGAAAACTCTATAAACTTGGAAAAGCAACAATAGTTACAGAAAGGCTTCAGGCCTTTTGTTCATAGGTTCACTATCTTCGACTCTATGGCAATGAACAACAACAACTACAACATTTGTGGGTCTTTACAGGTCTTAGCTTGCTGGAGGCTGTCTAGATTTAACTAATAGGTGATCTGTAACAAAGAGGAGTGAAGAAAATTATTGTTGCAATGAAACAATTTGTCCCCAAAGTAATACAGCACACAGTAACTCCAAGTTATATGATCATGAAGGCAGAACAAATAGGTGTCACCAGTCTACCACTACTGCCCACTATGAAGGAGATCACATAGAACATACTAAAGTGTAACAAAACTCAAAATCATCAAAATAATCTGATCTATTTGTCTGATGGGAACAGGTGGATCATGGATATCCAAGAGCCTACTCATAGACTTTTCATCTACAACTGAACTTACCCATATGCCTCATATTTCATCCAAACAATATCAAGGAAGAAAACTCAGCCATACAAGATTTTTTAAAAAGCAGAAATTGCTGAGATATAAAGTACAAAAGGCAGGAAGGGAGAGGATTGACGAATGAATAGAATCCACAGTCACAGGGAGAAAATGTGAAGTATGACATTATTAGTGAGGATTTTAATCAATGTCACAAAATAAAATGAACAAAAACTGTGAGAGGAAAGCAAATCTGCTCAAATATTAACAAAAAATTAAAAATATGGTTTGAGACATTGTGGTGTTTTTAAGCAATGGAAAAATATGCAGCACTCAGGATCAATGATTTAAAAGAATGCTACATAACTAGGAAGAGACTGACAAGCATTATTCTGAGTGAACTACGTAACTCAGTCTTATAATGGCAGATACTGTTTAGGGCCATTATTGTAAAAAAGAGAAGGATAATGTGTATGAAGGCCCAAAAGGGGAAGAGTTAGGAGCAGAGGGTTGAGTGTGAGCACAGAGGAAGTCATAGGATCGCACAAATTAATTGGTGGAGGGAGGGGTAAAGAAAATGTAAAAGATCCAGTGGGACCTGAAACGATAGGTTAATGGTGAATATAGTTCAGTGATGATTAATTTTATAAAACACAATGTATGAGAATGAATGTATGAAACACAAAGTCAATGAAGGAAAGTGTGAAACAAAATTCATTTGAATTTTGTATGCAAACCAGTATTAAAACAAAAAAAAAATCCAAATCCCTCAATTTTTTCAGATTGTTACCTTTAGCCCTCCCCTATGCCCCTAGGACACTCCTCTCTGCTTTAGGGTGTGGTCTCACAGTCATACTTCTCCACATCTTGCTCATATATAGGAGGAGCAAATGCAAAATAGGCCCTTTCTCCTATTGGTGAAAACCAGCCCAGCCCAAAACTTGTAACTCTGAGAGAGGAAACCCAGACTATCAGGTGTCTTCATTCAGGAACCAGGGCTGAACACAGATAAGTCACTATGTCTCCACTTAGCTGGATTTTCCTTATTGCTATTTTACAAGGTAATTTTGTAGAGAACAATTATATCTGAGTGGACATGACTGAACAAACAAGCATGTGTAATGGTTTTCCTGACTCAAATATCACGGTGTTTGCAGGTGTCCACCGTGAGGAACAATTGGTGGAGTCTGGCAGAGACCTGAGGCAGCCTGGGAGGGTCTCTGTAGCTCTCCTATGCAGCGTCTGGATTCACCTTCAGTAACTATCAAATGCATTGGATCGACAAGCTCCAGGGAAAGGGTCGCAGTGGGTATCACTTATTACTACTACTGATGGTAGCACATACTAAGCATATTCTGCGAAGGGTCGATTCACCACCTCCAGAGATAATGCAAAAAACATGTTATATCTTCAGATGAGCAATCTGAGAACAGAAGACACAGCCATGTATTACTGTGTAAGAGACACAGAGGAGGGAAGACAGTGTGATCTCAGACAGAAACTTCTCTGTGGAGCTAAGAGCCCAGGATTCAGATCCATAAGCAGGCACAACAGATATGAGTTAAAGGCTGGTTTCCTGTAGTGATCTGGGCATCCAACACTTTCCCCAAGGAATATTTCACATAGGGAGATCATTGACTTAATGGTATGGATTCATATTGCAAACACAAAGGCATGTGGACCACTTCTACCTGTTGTTCTGAAAGAGAGCTGGGCAATCTTCTCATGTGCATTTTTCTACCTCTGAAAACCTGCTAGAGTGTCAGGTATGAATTGATTATGATTTAACACCATCAACAACTACTAACTCTCTTCTTTCTCTTACTTGATGCTTCCTTTTAAATTTCTTTTATTTGTTTGCATATAATCATTCATATACATTGTGTTTCATTCATACACTTTGTGTTCTATGCCAATTATCCATATATGCTGTAAACCTTTGTAAGTGCCTGGAAGAAATGATACAGAAAATACAGGCACACACAAAAGATGATACAGGACTACATCAAAAAAGACACACAATACACAGACGAGACAAAACTGCAGCCTCGAATGTTTGTGCTGTTTTATTTTTATAGGGGTATAAGCAATAATCTCATATTCCAGGGTTTCCATAGAATCATAATAAATGGGTACCAAAACAATCAAGTAATGGAGGGTACACCATCTATTTCTCTTGTTTTCTACATGAGAAAAGTGAGGAGACTGAAACGACCAGGAAGTTTTCTTAGCAGGAAGAGAGACCTCCAAGTTCCCAGCTGGTATGTATAGGAATCAGATTGATTACATCTGCAGAAAGAACCCCTGGAGAAGCTCAAAGAAATTAATAATTAATTAATTAAAACCCCCAACCTGGAGAATTCCATGGAGAAGTAAAATATTCAATGTGACCTTCTTGTAATTGCTGTTGCACTAATTCATCAAGAGTCTCAAGTTTTACTTTAGGGATAGGCCACTGCTCAATCCATACTGGCTTTTGAGTTAACCACTTCAAGGGCATGGCTTGAGATTGTTAACAGTAGCATTTCATTTAAAGGATTATAATTCATGTTCAACTTCATTTTTTTTACAGACACAGGCAAGGAGGGCATTGAAAAGCACCAAGCTGTTTTAAAAGACTTCTTCCCCACAAATTTGAGCTATTATCTAGAACATAAAATTTTAAACGAGCCTTTTGTTCGTCAGGACCAATACATTCATAAGAATCACAACTTTGCCAAACGTCTGGTGTAGTTCCTAGTCCTGATAATGTTATATCTATTTTTGGTAACTGCCAACCCAGGGGCCAATCACACTTTCCAATAATAGAAACATCAGCTCCTGTATCTACTAATCCTATAAATTTAATCCCATTATTATTTAAGGTTAAGGAAGGCCTTTGGCAATTAAAGTCTCCCAAAAAATATACTTACCTAGACTACCAAAACTTCCCTGCCTATCCTTACTGGTGACTGAAAAGGATTTAAAAGGTAAAAATGACAACTGAAAATTTCTTTGACCTGCTTGTACAGTCATAGTTTTTTGAAGCTAGACTAAAACCTGAATTTCATCTACGGCATCTGGATCAATCAACCCAGTATGTACTTGGAAACTTTGGCTAGTCAGGCTACTTCTGCCAATAATGAGACC